TTTTTACCCATTGCACGCCGGCTTCCTAGACCTTGCACTGCTTTGGATGAACCATGAACGAAGCTCATTTGGGCTGTGGTGTGTTCCACTCTGTGTGCTTTAAGCCAAATGTGTTCATATCTATGGATTATCTTGACATGTTATCCCTTCATAGGTGCTTATGGTGCCCAGCACTGCAGATTCTGGGCATCTGGATTAAAATGGTTCTATTTCATCACTCTCGCCCGCCCCCTGCATTCTGCCATTGCTTTGTCCACATTGGCTGGGTAACTCAGTGAGATAGGTTGTGGAGCCAGAGTTTGGGTACTGAACTGCTGGATAGCTCAGTGGTTTAGGTATGTGGCTGTGGAGCCAGAGGTGGGCAGTTCAATTCCCCACTGTGCTTACTTGATGGGGACTGGACTCGATGATCCGAAGGATCCCTTCCAGCTCTGCAGTTCGATGATGATGATGATGATGATGATGATTAAACTTCCTGCTATGTGTCCCAGAAGAGCCATCATTTATAGTTATGGACAAGCTGCATAGTCCTGGGGAGTTATCCCCAAACACCCCCCCCACCCAAGAAGAAGGGAATGTTAAACCACGTTTGAGTACTCACTACCGAAAATAGCCTTAAAAGAGTTACTGTAAGTCAGAATTGGCTTGTTGGCACATGATGAGGGCGATGATGAGGATGATGGTTTTTGGTATTCTTAGTGGATGGTAAGTGCCTTATCTGTTGTGGATCCACTTTTCTGTCTTCCATGCTCTCTGCGTGTAATGCTTTAGCACATTTCATATTTTTGGCACCTTTTATGCTTTAATGTTTATTGGCTTTCATTGTTTAATATGCAAGCCACTTCGAAATATTAAGACTAGGCATAATCATAATAATCATTTCCATCATTATTTCCCCTAGGAATAAACTCTTCCCCTTGCTAGTCATTGGGGGAGAGTTTCATATTTTGTTTTTCATAAGATTTTTCTTTATTTTCATGATTTTTTTTTCATATTTCTAAAGGGGAAAAATAAACTTTGATGGTACAGAACACAGAAAGGGAGAGGGAGAGAAGTCCTTTATCACATTTGAGTGGGATGGGACTGGATTTTAAATGAATCTTCAGAAGAACAAGAGGAAAGATGGTGATGGGGTTAGGATTAGAGTTAAGCATGCAAAACAAATCTCTTGCAAAAGAACTTCAAAAAAATCTGGAGAGTGGGCAAAAACCAATTTAAAAAAGAAAAGAAAAAGCCAATCTAACTCAGCATACTGAGTAGTACCAAAAATCATGGAATCTTTATGGAGCCATCTTTATTAGAATACAGTGGTGCGTCACTTAACAATTACCTCATTAAACAACGACTCCGCTTGATGGTGAGGTTTTTGCGATCGGAAAAACGATGTTTCAATGGCCAAAAATCGCTTTATGATGATTGGTTCCCTGCTTCGGGAACCGATTCTTCGCATTATGGCGATCTAAAAACAGCTGATCATCAGGTTTCAAAATGGCCACCCACTGTTTAAAATGGGTAGACATTGTCTAGAGGGGCGGGGTAAAAATTGAATGAATAAAATAAATAAATAAATAAATAAAATGCCCCCCTGCTGTTTTTAGGAGGCATTTTTCACTTTACAGGCACTGGAAAATGGTTGCCCTATGGAGGATCTTCACTGGGCACTGAGGTATTTATCCCATTGGAATGCATTGAACCGGTTTTCAATGCATTTCAATTTTTTTTTTCGCTTGACGAGGATTTCGTTCTACAGTGATTTTGCTGGAACGGATTATCCTCGTCAGGCGAGGCACCACTGTATATCTACATTACACAGTTATGGCAGTTTGATTTTATTTTAATTGTTTTAATGGCTCCATGTGAGACGCTGGCATGTGAGGCATTGTGGTTTGGTGAGGTACATAGAATGCTCTTCTTTAGTTTAAAGGAGTGCATTGGTGCTCTCTGGCACAGTGGTTCCCAATTGGTAGCCCCAGATATTTTTGGACCACAATTCTCAGAAATGGCATTGGACTTATGGGTCGTGCTAGCTAGAGCTTCTGGAAGTTGTGACCTAAGATTATGTGGGACCCCAGGTTTGGGAACCATTGATTTAGCAGAAAATGTTGAGTATCTCACCAAGTTATAAATGCCAGGGTCCCATAGCGCCATGTTGGTTACAGTGGCTTTTGAACTGCTGTAACTAGACAGTGCAACGACTCAAGAGATTCAGAATGTGAAACCTTGGGGAAAGAGTTGTCTGGAGTGTCTTGTACCTCGAATGTACCTTTTCCCTTTTTGCTGTATGTTTGAAATGGGCGAGGTATCTTAGCATCATCAAGTCAATTCTGACTTAAGGCAACCATTTCTGCGGGGGGGGGGGTTCTAGCTGGATAATACACATAGGTGGTTTACTGTTCCCTTCTACTGTGCAGCTTGCTCAAGGCTACACTGGCTGGCTCTTTTTTCTGGGAGGCATAGTGAGGAATTTGAACTCACAACCTCTGGCTCTACAGCTGGATACCTAAATCACTGAGTTATCCAGCCAGCTATCTTAGCATTAGTTCCCATAATATCAACTGTTTCTCAAGCTCAACAAAACTTGGCTCCCAGCTATCAAACATACTACGTGCAAAAGGTCAACGAACTCTATCCAGCCACAAGGACAGGGGATCACTGCACACAAAAGACCAGCTAATGACACCCATCAACCACAGGAACAGATAATCTCTTCCACTTAGCACAACAATACACCTACAACAATACACACTAATCACCCATCTACAGGAAAAGACAAAAGCCTATCTCACAGCCATAAGTACTGCACTCCCAAGCTAACTACACCAGAGTACAGGTTGCTGTCATCTGAAGATACTGGCCACAGAGACTGGTGAAACATCAGGAAGAACAACCTTAAGAACACGGCCAAAGAGCCCGAAAAACCCACAACAACCATGTTTCTTAAAGAGCTGAGCATTGCTATAAAATTTGTACGATGGGATATTTTCCTCTGCTCTGTTGAAATACTGCATGCCCTTCAAAATTTCTGCAGATAGCCAGTGATGGGGCTGATGGGAATTGTAATCCATCTACACCTGGCACATCATGCATTGCTGGTTCCTCCTATAGTGTAATGTATTACGGCCCCAGCATCAGTCTTTGAATACGCTGTATTGTGGAAAACATGATATACCAACAAATAGCCTCTCACTAGTTCTAATGTTGAACTCTGACTGTGAATTTTGAACAGCCTGAGCAGTTTTGTTTATTCTCTGGTAAGCTGCCTTCAATGGAAAAGGCAGGTTGGGTGTGCCTGATATAAACACAGAGATATTGAGAGGCAAGTATTTGTTATGACTAACAAGGTGTTCATCTTTCTGATGGATGTATCTTTGTGAAAAGGGATTTATAAATTGCGAAGACCTTAAGGCTGAAGCAGTATTGACAGACATTTCTTGGTAAAGCCCGAGACAACTAGACTCAAAGGCAGAGACTTTGTTTTTCCCCTCACTACAACAATGCCCCTTATGAGAGCTTTATGTTAGCCTCGGGGAGGGCATGAAGAATAACAATGATTCACTTATATGGGCGGGGCGGGGTAAGCAAAAAGGTGCATTGAGTGAGCAACTTCTATTATAGTTAAAACTACTCTTGGCAGCCCATTCAGAATGGACTTTTTGTCTGTATGATCTCATCTTGCTCTTCCTTTAATTTCTTGAGATTAGAGGGAAAATTGTACTTCTCCAGATACACTCCCTTCCAACCTTGCCAGCATATGGAATTAGGAGAAAATGTTAAAGAAGAAAGACAGCAATATATGTCCTCAGCTGTGCTAGATTCTAATGGACTAGCATATGTGTGGGGTGAACATAATGTTTCCAGCCCATTGGGGTTCCATTTGCCACAAAAATGGGTGGGTATTTTTTTTTTCAAAAGAGGGAGAGAAAAACTAATCAGAGTTCATTAAGACTTTTTTTCCCCCCCAGGATGGTAGCTATCAATCTGATGGAGCTTTAAAGAACTCTGGCAATTTCTACTTCCACTGCCCCTGAACTATACCAAAATTAAATAAGCTTTTCTAAATCATGTTGTAGTAAACAGAACAGCCTGATGCTCAGAATGTAAACAGCAGAATGATCTGTATGGGAAGATAGTAGAATTCAGCCTCATCAGTAAACAAGGGTTAGTCTCTGCTATATGAATCTACCCATTTGCTTGATATCTCTCCGAGTTCCTAGTCGCAAGATCCTGTGTTGTTTTAGATCAAATCAGTACCGCTGACTCAGGATGGGACTTTCTGGTGGTGTCAAGAATTTTGTACAGCTCCCCTCCAAGCAGAGAGTCATCCTGTTCTTTCCATGCTGGTCTTTAGCTTATTGGCAAAAGCAGCTCTCATCTAATTTTTCAGGCATGTGAAAGGTGTTTTAGCAAAATGAAGCAAAACAAAAGCAAAGTGTGCTACTTTTTTTTACCACCCCATAGCACTTGTAAACTGGGCAGTTTACAGATTAATTGTGCAGGTTACACATTGTCCCCTCCCAGCAAGCTGGGCACTCAGTTTACTGACCTTAGAAAGATGGAAGTCTGAGTGAACCTTGAGATGGCTATCTGAACCCCAGGTCATGAGCCGAATTTTGGCTGCAGTACAGGAGTTTAACCACTGCACCATGAAGCAAAAAGAAAGCAAAAAAAAGTATTGTGACATGTTTAAGGCTATGAGCTTTATTTCAGCTTATTTTAGTGTGAGCTTTTGTGGATTCTCTCAGTCACCTTTTCCTTCAGGCAGGTTTTCAGGTCTTCTGACTGTTTCCAGGGACAGTTGGGCGGCTTCTTCTGTTATCAACCATTTCTCTCTTTACTATTCAAAGGACATTTTACTTTATTTTCCCATCAGTAGCTTATTAAGATTTGAAAGTTAGTGAAGGTGAAGGAAGGACGTTGATAGATTCTTCCTTAACAGATTGCAGCCTCATTTCCTTAAAGTGGTGGAACTGCTCATCAAACATTATTTTCTTTTTCATTAGGTACTTACGTGACTAAAGTGACAGCCACTGATGCGGATGATCCTGTTTACGGAAACAGCGCCAAGCTGGTCTACAGCATCTTGGAGGGCCAGCCTTACTTTTCAGTCGAACCGCATACAGGTGGGTGCATCCGAATGCCGGCTTTCCCCAGGTTATGCCCTAGGAGAGAGACGCTGCTTCTCGAATGCTGCTTTGCTCGCTGCATTTAAGCATAATGTGTAGGTAGGTGGCTGTCAACATTAGTCAATCTGTAGAGCATAAGTATCTGACTCATTTCCCGCCGTTGCACAAAAAGACTTGACAGAGGATGGAGAGGAAAAGAAAAGAGTCTGTTTAGAAATGCTCTTGAGACACCACAGGCTGAAATATAAGAAAAACCCAAGCTGAAAGCCCACTGTTATCAGTGCAAACATTGCCGCATATTTTAATAGCCTTTGTTCAAACCAGAACTTTTAGGTAACAGTCATGTGTATGCTGAGTTTCTTGCAGTGTCGCCCAGCTGCTGTGCCTGTGTGTTTCTCTGGGTGTCTGTGTTCATACACATATGCAGAGTACGAAAAGGAGGGCCCACAGGTCATTGGACAAACACAATGTTTTGCCTCCACATTTTCCTGAAGTGAAGTTTATTCTCTCACGTGTTCAGTTTAGAATCATCCCTTTATTATTGTATTGAATGGCTAGATCTGTATTCCTCTGAGGAGTACAAGGAGTTGGTGTGTTTATTTTTTCTCCTCAGAACAACACAACCCACTGAGGTACATTAGGCAGAAAGATTCATTCAGGATCACTCAGTGAACTGCATGCTATTTCTTTTATTACATTTACATACTGCCTTTCAGACAAAATTTTCTCTACAGTCTCCTAAAAATAATAGGGCTGTTCAGGGTGGAAACTTAATATGGATTCCTGGATCTTTTAGGGAGGTCCTTTTTTCCGTTTCAGGTTCTTTTTGTCTTGAGAAACCCAGAATCACCTGATTTTTAAAGTTTTTTTTAAAATTTCCTATTCTTGTTTCTCTCCCGCCAACCTAGCAGTTCGAAAGCATGCAAATGCAAGTAGATAAATAGGGACCACCTCAGTGGGAAGGTCACGGCATTCCTTGTCTAGTCTCACTGGCCACGTGACCACAGAAGATTGTCTTTGGACAAACACTGGCTCTATGGCTTGGAAATGGGAATGAGCACCGCCCCCTAGAGTCGAAAACGACTGGACAGAAATTGTCAAGGGGAACCTTTACCTTTACCTTTATTCTTGTTTCTGGTAGTTTTTGTTGGAAGAGGCCTATAAGGCTATTGAGACCAACCCCCTGATCAAGGCAGGAATCCAAATCAAAGCAGAGATAGTTGTCCAATTTTCTCTCGAATGCCTCCAGTGTTGGAGCACTCACCACCTCCCAAGGTAGTTGATTCCATTGTCATACTGCTCTAACAGTTAAGACGTTTTCCTGATATTCAGCCTCACATCTCCCCTGCTAACCCAGAAGATGACTGACTTATTGCTACATTTTCCAAACACCTTGTTATCTGATGTAATGCCCATTTACAATAGAAGATATGAAATGTTTCTGTAACCATTACAGTAGGTATGTGTGTGTTCATCCCCAGCCACTTCAGTAGCTCAGACATGCATTGTTGTGTATAATAGTGCGGTAAACGAATTGGACACAACTGGACAAATTGTCAAGGGGAACCTTTACCTTTACCTTTATTCTTGTTTCTGGTAGTTTTTGTTGGAAGAGGCCTATAAGGCTATTGAGACCAACCCCCTGATCAAGGCAGGAATCCAAATCAAAGCAGAGATTGTTGTCCAATTTTCTCTCGAATGCCTCCAGTGTTGGAGCACTCACCACCTCCCAAGGTAATTGGTTCCATTGTCATACTGCTCTAACAGTTAAGACGTTTTCCTGATATTTAGCTTCACATCTTCTCTGCTAACCCAGAAGATGAGTGACTTATTGCTACATTTTCCAAACACCTTGTTATCTGATGTAATGCCCATTTACAATAGAAGATATGAAATGTTTCTGTAACCATTACAGTAGCTATGTGTGTGTTCATCCCCAGCCACTTCAGTAGCTCAGACATGCATTGTTGTGTATAATAGTGCGGTAAACGAATTGGACACAACTGGACAAATTGTCAAGGGGAACCTTTACCTTTTTACTAATGTTTAATCAGGAATTGTCTCTTCAAAAAAGAAAATCCTGGTCAAGGGGAACCTTTACCTTTTTACTAACGTTTAATCAGGAATTGTCTCTTCAAAAAAAATCCCAGACACCCCACATAAATCTTTTCTTGAAAGTGATTTGTGTTTTTTTTTTAAAACTCAATTTACATTTAGCTATCAGGGAATATAAAACCCTTACCTTCAAGCAGTGTGGAATAGGTTGTTCAAGAAGCCACCTGCTTTAGAGCACAAACACTTAAAAAAAAGCAGCTTGATGAAAGAAACGTGCCGCCAGATTCCTTGATAATCTGAACATTTGCAAGAAGAAGGTATGATAATATCTTGTATGCACTGCAGATACTTTTATGTACGCAGTTGTTGAAAAACCAGGAGTAATAGATCAAACGCAGCTACAGTTTCCAGCACTTTGTGGCATTCTAGATTAAACTTTCCAGAGGCTGTCATGCATAAAACATGTAAATGCTATAGGATTCTTGGTGCATCACTGGGAGCGGAATGATTTTGCCATTTGAATACTATTGCTGTTTACAAGATCAGGTGGAAGAGGTACAGCCTTGCCTACGGATGTGAAAATCTGTCAGTTCCATTTTTGTTGTGTTTTTTCAGAATCAATTTTGCTGTGTTTGTCCAATCCAAATCATGGATTGGATGGCACATTTTCTTCTTCTTCCTGAATGGAAATTTGTGTCTGTTTGGGTATATACTTCTCCAAATGTGTGATATATTTTTTTTTACATATTTTCACACTGACTAGCTTGTGTGCATTTTTCTAATATATGTCATTTTAGTAGTGTGTATTTACTTGTATATCATTTGACAGAAGAAAGGGAATCAAATCTGATGTACATCATTCCTTTGACAGGAAATCAAAGGACATGGGTACACTTCCATTAGTATGCTAACAGAGTAAATGAATTCATTAAAACCTCATGGTGAATGTAAATTTCAACTCTATGCCTAGATATGCCCTAACACTGGGGGAGGGCCAAGCAACACAAAGAGCTGCTACAGATAAACCAGTGCCCAACCCTCTAGAATACCAGTTCCAGTCAATGTGGAATGGGCAAACTCTGAGAATCTAGAGGTCGGTTTCCATCTTTTTGCACTTGCCACAGATAATGTACCATCAAGGGGGGGAAAACCTGAAGGAGAAGTTTGTAGAACTTAACATCTTCAGGGATGGGCTGTAAGTCCTCCACTTTTCAAGATTTTGGGAGGTGGGGATGATTGGGGAAAAGGACAACATGTCTGGTTTCAGAGAAGAATCATGGACATCCCCTTTTTTCAGGGGGAAAGGAAGACATTCACAAGACCTCAGGGAGTCACAAAAGTGGTTAAGGAGCTCATAAGTCTGGTGGGCTACATGTTTATTACTGCTACGTAGATAGTCTTGGACTAGACAGAACAATGGTATGACGTGGTATAAAGCATCTTCATAAGATATCAGAACTTTAAGTTGCTTCCTTGCAAGAATCAAAATTCTGTGGCTCCTCTGCCCAGCTTGCCGATGTTTCAAAGGTATCTGAAGTTCAGGGATCGTCATATGTTGTTGTTAGAATAAGCGCAGACAAAGGAAACTGAGAATGTTGTGATGGTTGTGTGGAAGACAGCAGTGCTTATTGCTGGATTCCAAGTCATATCGGGCAATTATCCACCCGAATCCTCCTCCAGAGCTATCAAAAGACCTTCCTGTGCTTGTGACTATCATAAGAAGTTGATACCGAGGTATCATTAGCGTGTTGTGAAGACCTCACGGTCAAAACATACTTGTGATGCTTCATGTACTGATTGTTTCTGTATTATGTATCTGAATGACATGATACATTTCTTTTTGAGGTTATGAAGTTGGCATGAGAGCGCTCTCTTGAGATTTATTTTGTCTGTTTTTATTATACTATGCATCCTGGCTTCTCAGGTGCTTTTCACCACAGAAAACAATTCTTTATACTGTCTGTGTGTTTGCAAACACTGATGGGTTTTAACACCACTGTTGATTCATTAATCAGAAGGCAAAAAACCAACAACAATATTTAGGAAAAACAGAAAAACTAAATGTGAACAGCTTGTCAGACAGAGCAAATTTATAGTGCGGTGACACCAAATTTGTGATGTATCTTACACACTGGACATGATCGTTATAACTTTCATAAATCACAACAATTGCCTGCCAGTTTCACAGACGGCTATAACGTAATTTTTCCTGTGTTCATTGGTGATAAGTTGGCTTTCTAATATTATTTATAAAGTCATGCAAATTGTGTTTATTTTCTAATAATTCACTGGCTTCCAATCCCCTTTGCCATTTCTCTGCCCATGGCTCGTTGTTAGGCATTGCTATGGAATATCTCTCATTTTTCAGCTTCCACAAGGATGCATACTAAGTCACAAAAGTAATTATTATAGTTATAATTGTCATCATGTCACAGAATCTGAATCAACATTTTGCTCTTCTTATGTAGAGACATAGCACAACAGCAGTAAAAATCAAGATGTATTGCATTTATTAACATTTCAGAGAAATTTATTAATTTGAAACCCTACACTATTTTTATTTACAGTTAAGCTAGAAATGGATTGTGCACAGCATAAAATATAGTGGGAAAGCGTAGGTTTTGTGGTCCTGTCAGTAATATATAATTAATTACAATCAATGTGTGAAGATAATATTTTGTGCGTTTTGTATTTTTGTACTCAGAGAAGCTCTAACCTAGGAATAGGAGTAACTCTATACGGTCTCAGGAACACGTTCTTCTTAAACCCAGATACATAAATGCATCTGGAAACGAAGGCAGAGTAGCTGTGGGAGTTTTCTAGGATGGGGGGGAGAGACTTGAGTATTGCAAAGTCTACTTACAACTAACGCCTGAACAGCCACTAATGTATGCCTTATTACATGATATTATGTTTAAATTATTGTTAAATTATTTTTAAAG